TAATCGTCGCATGCATCCACAGACATTTGCCTCGCAGCAGCCAGTCATTTCTTTTGAAGGTGTGCCCTGTTTCGCTTCGTTGAAAGTAGTTCTACGGGAAGTTACTCATTTTGCGAAGGGATTTTATCATTGTGCGTATTTTTTTTTTTTTGTGAAACAAATCAGTGGTTTGGTATTTATGCAACACAGCTTTGTCAGTGTAATTTTAGTAGTTTTCGAAGTTTAGGAGATAGCGAAACCCCGTCCGAATCGTCCAGTGAAACACACATGGATGAAGGTGATGAGAGCAGCACTGGAAGTATTGAGAACTGGTGGGATGACGAGGCGATTGTGCCATCCGGTGAAGAAAGTGCTGGTTAGATACTCTTTTCTTTTTTTTGAAACTCATAACTCATAGTTCGATCGAAGTTGCTGTGCTGTGTTTTTTGATAAAGTTTCTTTTTTGAAGGTGATGGGGCAGAAGAGGAAAGCTGGGAGGATGAGGATGAGGACGATGATGAAATGGTTGCCGGTGAAGATCACTGAAAAATCTCTTGCTCTCAGCTCGCTGTATTTTGAAAAATCTGTGTTTTTTCACAAGGAAAAAAGAATTCTGATTAGAAATTGCACAAGTACAAAGCACATGTTTTCGTATTTTTGAGACTGCATCTGCACTTGGAAATAGCTTGCACTGTGTTCCACTGTTCTATTGTGTAATTGTTTGCAGAGTGTGCATCACATATTTCATTTTACGCTCTTTCATCATTGGCGTTCTCGGTGCACTTGCCATATAATGTGCCTAAATGCTTCGCACTTTTGCGCGGTGATGCTTATTGGCTGCTAACGTTCTCCTGTGGAATTCACTGGCTCCAAAAATTACTGCTGACCTAAAAAAGAGTCTGAGACGGCCAGTTTTTGAACTGAACTGAGGCGGGAGGTGCTTCTTCTTGAAACATTGCTACAGTTGCTGAACTGAGGCGAAAGGTGCTTCTTCGAGAAACATCGATTTTGTCAGTTGTAGCGTCCAGAAGTGGTGGTGTACTAACGTTTTGCACTCCGTTTATCCCCTCTTTACTCACCTCATGGTGTTTTCAGTCAGATCTCTGCCCTCTCATACTTCTCATTTCTTACGAAGCAGACCAAATGTATGCATG